TGGTGGAATTCATTGCCGTTGGAACTGCGTCTTTTCTCTCACTCTAATAATGTGTTCCGGCTTAAACTTTTGAACCTATTCATGAGCAATTAGCTGTCTTAGTCAATAAATAATTTTTTTCTTTACTTTACTGCTTTTCCTTTTATAATGAAAGAGAGTATTGCAAGTAAATCTAAATAGGTCAGTGTTACTATTAATTTAGACCGTTATTATTTTTATTTAAATACTAGTGCTTTTTAATATTTTTCCTTACTATTATTTGCATTAGGTTTGTGGAACTCTTAAAAGAATTTGTAAGTTGTAATTAAATTTTATTTTTTAATATTTGCAACACTTTGTATTTTATGTTAAGTTTATATACTTAGGTGTTATGGCTTAATAGTACGTAAGATTGGCCTTATAGGCTTTGTATTACTTCAATGAATAAATAAAATAAATAAATATTCGAGGGAGTTATTAACAATAAACTAATTTCCGGGAATATATACCTTTGTATGCGGGCTATGGGAAATATTGGATCGATTTCAAAGATTTTAAACATAATTGATCACTGCTTTGAAAAAATAATGTGTGACAAAATTCATGGACATATCTTTGGTAGTTTCTGAGAAAACTTGTTAAGAATTAGGAACAAAACGTAATTTTTTTTGAGGTAGTCTGAAATTTTTACTCATAACTTTTTACGTTGTGATCCGATTTTGCTGATTTTCAATACCAAACTGCTTAGGATAATAATAATTATTTTGGGTGAATTTAGTTGATTTCCTTTGTTTAGTTTTAAAGTGAGCGTGTATTTGGCAGACAGAAGGACAGACGGATATAGCTAAATAGACTCAGAATTTCATAAGGACCCAGAATATTTATACTTTGTTGGGTCTTAAATGAATATTTCTTGGTGTTACACACGGTACGACAAACTTATATATACAGCTGTGGTCAGCTAATTGGAAACGCTCTCTTTATATTACAGCTTGACATGATTTGTATAATATTATGAAAATATTATGTTAGATTTTCAGTTCGAAACTCATGTATTTTATAAATTGATGTTGTTATAATAAAATGAAATGCATTTTGTTGTGGAACATTTCTTAATTCCTTTTCAATTTTGAATTTGGTGAAAATCGCCCAAAGATACATCAAAGAAATTGCGACAACTAATTAGAAACGACAATTTTTTATTAAAATTTTTTTAAGTTAAATCTAATTTTGATAAAAAATTTAATTGTACTTTGGTAAATATTATTATTAATTTAATTTATAAGAAATTTTACATCATTATTTTTAGGACTAATAATGAAAATAGAACAAAGAAATATTCCTTCCCTGGGTAGATCCATTTTTGAACTTCATAAAGCTTGTAAATCGTAAAAAGATATAGGAGAACAGCCCTTTTGTTCAAAAACATATATTTTTGATCGTTTATAGCATTTTAAGAAATATGACACTGATACTAACGCTCTACGTCAAAAATTTTCCAGAAAAACATCAGCCCACCCCCAAACCGGATGATAATACGAATCTCTAAAGTTGGCCCAAAGGAATCATCCACGGGCATCCAGCGGTAAATTTGAGAAAAATTAGATATAACGTTATCTTAGCCAACTATTTCACGATGTTTGGTGGAATCGGGGCATATTGGAAGAGAATCGCGAAGGAAACCTTTAGCAGCTAAAGTTTAAAGAATTTGCCATATCTCATTCGAAAATCTGCCACACCTTTTACCATTTATTGTACCTTGTATATTGAGGTATAATACGATTAATCTCTGTTTCAAAGCTCCGAAGTAAATAATTCCACTGATTAACCGTCTAATTTTGATAAGATCAGGTCAATTCAACACGATATTTCATATACAAGAGATATTGCAAATTCTTTGAATTTTAGTTGGAAAAGGTTTCTTCCGCCCTTTCTCAAGATGCCCCGATTCCGTCAAAAATCGCGAAATAGTTGGCTTAGATAACGTTATATCTAATTTTTCTCAAATTTACCGATGGATGCCCGTGGATGATTCCTTTGGGCCAGCTTTAGAGATTTGTCTTATTATCCGGTTTGGGATGGGCTGATATTTTTTCGGAAAATTTTTCACGTGGAGCGTTAGTATCAGTGTCATATTTCTTAAAATGCTATAAACGATTAAAAATATATTTTTTTGAACAATAGGGCTCTTCTCCTATATCCCTTTAAGATTTACAAGCTTTATGATGTTCAAAAATAGATCTACCCAAGGAAAGAGAATTTCTTTGGCCTATTTTCATTCTTAGCCTAAAAATAATGATGTAAAATTTCTTATAAATTAGAAACAATATATACCCAAATGCAATTACATTTTTTATCAATTATTATTAACTTAAAAAAAATTTTAATAAAATATGGCCGTTTCCAATTAGTTGTCGCAATTTCTTTGATTTAGCTTTGGGCGATTTTCAACAAATTTAAAATTGAAAAGTAAATAAGAAATGTTCCACAACAAAATGCATTCCATTTTATTATAACAACATCAATTTATAAAATACATGTGTTTCGAACAAAAAATCTAACGTAATATTTTCATAATTTTATACAAATCACGTCAAGCAGTAATATAACGAGAGCGTTTCCAATTAGCTGACCACAGCTGTATACTCTATCACCACTGATGGTGGTGGAGGGTATAAAAAGCAAATCCAAAAATGTCTTTTGTGATTTATTTTATGTCTAATATTTTATTTATTTTTATTTTATTTATTTATTTGTGTATTTTATTTAACAATTTAACAATTTTTTTATACTTTGATTATAGATTTAGGGCCTTATTCATAAGCGAATTTTTGTTTTAAAAGGGTTTGTAAATCAAATTTTTTATAGAAATTTTGTTTTGTAAAACTTTTACAGGGTAAATGTTGCTTATGAATAAAGGGATTAATTTATTTTATTACTGTATTATAGAGTTATTCAGTAGAATTGTTTAACTATAGATGGCCTTTTAGGCTCGGTTATAACGTTCAATAAATAAATAAATAAACAATATAAATTACAATTTAAAACAAAAGCATCAGTATAGAAGTATAACAAGTTAGAGTGCTATATTCGGCTGAGCCGAATCTCCACCAGCTACTTTTATATTAATAAACTTTTAGTTAATCAAATATTTGTGGAAATAGGGTTTCTCATCTTTTCTAATAGAACAAGCAAAGATTTAAAGATTTTAAATCTGTTACAATTGCAAGTTTTTGCGCAGCATTATAATTTATTAGGTACAATTAATTATATACGGTTAAATTGTTTTTACAGTGATATTTCTGTAAATAAAAGCTATATTTCTAAAAAAAAAAAATTGTATCTAAGTATATATATAGATATTTGATAATAAGTGATGTGCATTCAAGTGATTTTCAGAAGAGGCTTTGTATGGGACCGATCGGACCCATATTATGGACCGATTGTGAAAAAAATTTAAAACAACATTTTGTATACAAAAGTAATGTCTGTGTTTAATTTGGCATGGATATCATTATTTGCTATGAGTAATGTGAATTTAAGTGATATCTGAGACGGGACCTTATATGGGAGCTATGACCGAATATGGACCGATCGTGAATTTTTTTTTTTAATAAAATGTTGGTAAACTAAATTAATATTTGTGCCAAATTTTGTAAGGATATCATTATTTGGTAATGAGATTTTAAATCTGTTACAATTGCAAGTTTTTTCGCAGCATTATAATTTATTAGGTACAATTAATTATATACTGTTAAATTGTTTTTACAGTAATATTTCTGTAAATAAAAGCTATATTTCTCTCAAAATTTGTATCTAAGTATATACAGTGAACTCGCGGTAATGTGAACATCCAATATAATGAACTATCCACTAATGTGAACACTCAGTTTTTTATATGGGCGCTCTAAATAGTAAACAAAGTTTAATGGCTCTAAATAGTGAACAATATTTTTTATTTTTAGGGATTTTTTAATTAGTAGAAGCATTTATTTTTATTGTTGGGAATCACCGAATTAATAAATACCATAGTATGCCATTATTTTAAAGGTATTTAATGCTAGTAGCTTTATGTAACTTGTTGCGGTAGGTTCGTGAATTTATTTTTAAAATTAGTGATGTCTAAAAACAGTCGAAAGTCTTTATCCTTAAATGAAAAATGCGAAATTTTGGAATATTTAAAAAAGGATCTAGTGTCACAGTGTTAAGTAAAAAGTATAAAGTTGCAAAATCAACGATATGTTCAATAAAAAAAAACAAAAAAGATAATATTTTAAAATGTGTGAACAATACGTTTTATAGACCCGGAAAACGCAAAACATTACGACCTTCAGAGTTTATTGTATGCGGAATAAAAACCTCCCTGTAAGTGGGTTGATGTTGAAAGAGAAAGCCAAACAAATTCACAAAAACATAAGTGAAAACGGAAATGACTTCAATGCTAGCGATGGGTGGCTACAAAAATTTAAAAAGAGATACGGAATTCGGCTCCTTCAGATAAGCGGTGAAAAACTTTATGAGCAATCTCAGTTCGTAAATCCTTTTAAAATTAAATTGAAAGCTAAGATAGAAGATTTGGGTTTATCCAATGATCAGTTGTATAATGCCGATGTGTCTGGTCTATATTGGAAACTTCTCCCACAAAAGACATATGTAACGTCATTGGAGAAAAGCGCTCCAGATGCAAAAATGGAAAAGCAAAAGAATAACATTTTTATGCTGTGCAAATGCGTCAGGATATCATAAAGTAAAACTTTTAGTAATAGGAAAATCGAAGAATCCCTATCTGTCCCGTAAACTACAGAAATTCAAAGTCTGCTTGGATGACTTCTTCCATTTTTAGAGAATGGTTTCACAACTGTTTTGTGCCAGAGGTAATTCTTACTGTTTTATTTTTCATTAAGGTGACAGATTTTTTAAAGAAGAAACGATTACCAGTAAAAGCTTTACTCCTAATAGATAATGCCCCATCCCATCCACCAGAATCCGACCTTAAATCCGAGGATGGTTCCATAGAACCTATGTTCATGCCTCCAAATGTAACGGCTCTAATCCAGCCAATGGATCAAAATGCTATTAGAATCACCAAACTTCATTATAGGAACAGTCTTCTGGCAACAATTATTGCAAAAGAGGGGGATTTGCTTGAATCGATGAAAAAAATCACACTTAAAGAAGGAGTTTCTATTCTAGAGGCATCCTGGAACCGAGTTGGTAAAGAAACTTTATCTAACTGTTGGAAAAATATTTTGAATATGGTAAATGATGAAGACGATCCTAAATTTAATGTTCCCTTGAGCGTTTTAAAAGAAAAGTGGCAATCAGAGGTTAGATCTTTAGAAAATATTGCTGCAGATCTTCTACAGACATTGCGCCTTCAGGAAGTATTTACTGCTGTAAACATTAGAGATTGGATCAATAATCCTTGTGAGGACGTCACGCCATTTGATGAAAATTATTTAAATGAAGAGTCCGACGATGATGACGACTGTTTTATTGAAGCGCCTGAAAACAACATTAAAGCCAAAGAAGCTGTCGAAATTCTTAACAAAGCTGTCCAATGGGCTGAATTTCAAACGGTCGATCAAACTGACATTAAAGTATTGAAAAAAATCAGGGAATTGCCGGTAAATAAGCTGGTCGAACAAAAGAAAAAACAGAAAATAATAACCGATTATTTCCATATTTAATTATATATGTATGTTTCTTTTTTCATTGTAAATTTTATTTATTTTTTTTTTTTTTTTTTTTTTTGTCGTAATATTTTGTTTGTTTTTTATGTACATACTATACGTATGTACTCTTTATAAAATGGATTTTTAAAAACTTTTTATGTTCAAATAAATTACAAAAATTTTTTTTAGTAATCTTTGCATTTTCATTCCTTGCAGAAATGATTTTTAGAAAGAATAACTTAGTAATATATATAAAAAAATCACAATCGAAAATGTGAACAATTTCGAAAATATGAACTACCCCGACATTAATTAGTTCACATTATCGAGAGTTCACTGTATATAGCTATTTGATAAAAAGTGATGTGCATTAAAGTGATTTTCAGAAGAGGCTTTGTATGGGACCGATCGGACCCATATTATGGACCGATCGTATGGATGACCAACTTTTATATACCCTCTATCACCACTGATGGTTGTGGAGGGTATAAAAAACACATATGGAGGGTATAAAAAACACATATGAAAACTTTCAAGTTTTTCATTTTAATATATGCGCAAATGAAGTCTTCACTCCAAAAATGATCAAAATAGGTTCAAGGACCTCTAAATGTATAATTCCGTCAAACTTTCATTATTTAAACAAAACAAAAATTATGAGTTTCTTTGGGAAGTGTTCATTTTAGAAATTAATTTGAAACCCTATTTTCTATTCCCTTTATACTACGTTAGGATTTATCTAACTACTTCTTTTTTCATCTTTGAAAAAGTGTAGAGATAAATTCTAACTAGTAAAACCGCTAACGGTATAAAGTAATTCGCAACTAGTTGCATAGTTTTTTTTTGTTTTTTAAAACACTTGTTAAGTGAACGCCATTACAACCACTTGGTTTAGTGCACAACCCCTTTTGAGAATCTTTAAGGTAAATATAAATTTAATAAATAAACTTTTTTTATTGAAAAAACTTAACTTTCTTGTCTTTTTATTTCTTTTTTTTGCACACACAAAAACATTTGGTCCGATCGAGCCGGATTTTTGAAGCCGGATTATTTGAAGCACTCAAATTAATTTCTTGTGTATTTGGTTTCTTTAAGATCGCCATCTTTTCTTCGAAAGAAAAAAAAAACCACCACCATTTCATCCACCAACATTAATAAAAAAAATTTTGGATTTTTAAGGTGCGTAATCTTTGAATTTGAGTGATTTTATTACAAAGAAATTTAAAGTGCATATAAAAGAATAAATATAAAAGAAAGACAAAAGAACAAGTCTTGTTTATTAAATTTATATTCACACATACACAGAAAGCTTTCTTGTGTATTATTGTGATTGATTGCTTTGCCAACTGCCTTTTTTTGTTTGACATTAGTGACTACCTTTTTGTCAGTGCTTAATATATCTACCGTGCATTTGTTTACATAAACGGACAGACATAGTGAAGATAAAATAAAATTAAAAGAAAATTTTTAAGAAAGTGCGAAAAATAAATTTAATAAAATCGGGTGTGAAAAAATATTAATTAAATAATAAAAATAAAATATAACAATAAATATAATAACAAATAAAACAAAGAAGAAGTGAAATAAATAAAGAAATTTATGTTTATGTACCTTGTACATAATCTTTATATACATACATACAATTATCTGCTTCTTCTTCCGTTTTGAGTTGTTACCCTACGGTCGGTCAGTTTGACTAATATTAAATTTGGTTATTATTTAAATATTTTTTCAGTTTTTAATAAAATTTGTATCAAATTTGCAATTTTTATTAAATTATTTGTTTCCTTTGTGCAATTTAAATACGTTACGTAATAATAAATCGTGATAAATTGAAGTCTTTTAAATAAAGATAAAATTAAATTGAATTAAATTATTAAATTTATTTTATTTAATCGCATTTATATTAAAATAACTATGTCTGTGCCTGCTCTTGCTCTCTTTATTAGAGCTTCTGATGCTCTCATAAGCTTTGAAGCTAATATGAACAGTCTTAGGGAAGAAAGACTCACTGTTTTTAGCTTAGAGGTTCATTCCGATGAATTGAAGGTTTTAATGAACGAGGTTAAGTCAACCTATCAGACATATCTAGACTATTTAGCTACTTCGGACACAACAGAACCTGATGATATAGATGTCGTATCATCAAAGTATCAGGCGACTTATAATGCATTCGTTAACTGTTTATCGAATATTAAAGAACGATTGCACACCTATGCCCAAACTCAAAAGACTAGTGATTCTCCAGTAGTTAGCCAGAACAATACGGAAACTCACCATAGTTTAGTAGTACCGCCCTGTGATGTTGAGACCTTTGACGGAGATTATCTCTCTTGGCCCGCTTTTAGGGATCTATTTACTGTGTTATACGTAAATAATACTCGTCTCACCAACATAGAAAGGATGTGTCATCTTATACGTAAGACTAGTGGTGATGCAAAGGAAATAGTAGCTAAATATCCTATTTCGCATTTAGGATTTGACATGGCGTGGAATAGCCTTAGGGCTGCTTACGAAAATCCACGTATGTTGGTTAACAACCAACTTAAATCTCTTTTTAATCTTCCTATTATTGAAAAGGAAACTTCTGAAGGTCTCAAGACCATACAAAGAGGTATAAACAGTTGTCTTTCGGCCTTATCAATATATAATGTTTCGACGGAAAATTGGGATCCGATAATTGTTTTCCTTTGTGTTCAACGACTACCCGATAACTCTGTTACCTTATGGGAACAAAGTATAAAAGACAAATTCGTATTGTCTGTTTGGAAAGATCTGGATGCATTTCTGACAGAAAGAATTCAGACCTTAGAATGTCTACGTGACATTAGGGAAGTCCCACAATCTAAAAAATTATCGACTCCAAAGGTGAAGGCGCACCATGCCACTTCATCTTCTTCCCTTTCTTGCATTTTATGCAAGAATCAAAGCCATTTTCTGCGGGATTGTAAGAGATTTAAAAAACTTTCGGTAATGGACAGATTCTCGACTATTAAGAAACATCACTATTGCATTAATTGTTTGTCACGAAATCATGAAGTGAAAGATTGTAAGAGTCTGCATTGTTGTTCTATTTGTAAAAAGAAGCACAATACTATGTTACATAGAAATGTGCCTACTTCAGAGGATTCAAATGGAAGTTCTAGAACTTCTAATTCGGGTCCGAGCACAAGTGCTATATCACAAGCTGCTCTATCTATACCCACAGATTCTTCTCAAGTAGCAACATCTAACAGCTCTAACACCTCAGCTCCTATTAATAGACAGGCGTTTTATACTTCGCAAAACCAAACCGTATTGTTAGGAACAGCGATGGTGAATATTCATCACCAGGGTATGACGTACCCAGCTCGTGCTCTCATTGACCCTGCTTCGCAATCATCGTTTATTTCCGAAAGAGTACAGAATCGTTTAAGAATTTTGACGCAATCGACGAATGCTCAAATATCTGGTATCAACCAGGCGAATTCTGTAATATCAAGGAAATCGTGTTCCATTTATATTGGCACGCCCTTGGACTCTTCAATTGTTTTGAGTACAGTAGCTCTCGTTTTGCCAACGATCTCTGGTGATTTACCCTCATTTGTTATATCGAATGAGTATCGAAATGATTTGCCAAATATACGTTTGGCAGATACTAACTTATTTGATTCTAAACCAGTAGATCTACTCTTAGGGGCAGATTTATATCCACGAATTATAATGGGTTCAGTTAGAAAGGTTTTAGGGACATTAGTGGCTCAGAAAACTATTTTCGGCTGGATTATTACTGGTCCAGTTCCTCAGTCTTCAATTCAGGTATACAGCACTAGAGTTGAATTTTCTGAAGAAGATAATATAAATAGTACCTTACTTAGATTTTGGGAAATAGAGGAACCTCCTAAACGGAAACTTATGTCAGCACATGATCGTATGTGTGAGGACAATTATAAGAAAACTACTCGTAGGGATTCTACTGGTAGATATGTGGTAACATTACCATTTAAACCTGAATTTCCCGAGACGTTAACTTTAGGTCAGTCTAAACAGAATGTTAGGGCGCAATTTATACGGACAGAATCCTCTCTCTTGAGAAATCCTGTCATCAAGAATATGTATGATGACGTCGTTAAGGAATATTTAACTTTAGACCATATGCGTCCAGTTAAAGACTCTCCTTCATCTTCTTGCTACCTGCCTCATCATCCAGTTATAAAATTGGACAGAAAGACCACAAAATTACGTGTGGTTTTCAATGCGTCGAATAAAACGTCTAACGGCAACAGTCTTAACGATTGTTTATTTGTGGGACCCACATTACAGGCAGATCTCGTTCTCCTGATTTTACGTTGGCGCTTTTTTAGGTTTGTGTTTAATTGTGATATAACACAAATGTATAGGCAGATTAGACTTGATAGTTCTCATACTCCATTTCAACGAATTTTGTTTCGTGATTCTCCGACGGAGGAAATTCAAGAGTATGAGTTACAGACTGTTACCTTCGGTGTTAATTGTGCACCTTATCTTGCCATTCGTACCTTGGTACAATTGGCTGAAGATTCCGAAGCAGAGTACCCTCTAGCGGCGAAAATACTTCGGAAATGTATGTACGTCGATGACGTATTAACTGGGACTCACGAGATCTCAACCGCTTTGATCGCTCGCGATCAACTTATAGCGGCTTTAGCATCAGCGGGTTTTGTTCTTAGGAAATGGACTTCGAATGAGAAAGCCATCCTATCTGGTATACCCGTTGAGCATTTAGTAGATGCCAAACTATTGACATTTATTGAGTCAAGTAGCTCAAAAACTCTTGGGTTACGGTGGAATGCTCATGCGGACTCTTTTTATTTTAATGTGGATCGTATTTCGATGCGATCAAGTCACACGAAAAGGGAGGTACTATCTATAATAGCTAGATTATTTGACCCTGTTGGATGGTTAGGACCAGTCATTATTGTCGCTAAGATGATAATGCAGAAGGTTTGGCAAGACCAGATAGATTGGGACGCAGCTCTTAAGCCCGCTACTGAAGCCGAATGGCAAAAATTTGCTGCTTCATATCATGAAGTAAACGACATCCAGATTCCTAGATGGGTTAATTATATACCTAATTCTACAGTGGAGCTTCACGTCTTTTCAGATGCATCTGAAAAAGCTTATGCAGGGGTAATTTACGCTAGAGTCGAAAGACCTAATGGCGAAATTTATACCCATCTGTTAACTGCTAAAACGAAAGTAGCTCCCATCAAATCAATTTCTCTACCACGACTTGAACTCTGTGGTGCACTTCTTGCGACGGATCTTTTAAAATCCGTATTATTCGAAATTGACATCCCATTATGTCAAATATATTGTTGGACTGATTCTACAATCGTCCTTGCTTGGCTGAAAAAGGACCCTTGTTAATGGGCAACCTTTGTAGCCAACAGAGTTTGTAAAATTCA